TGCGCCACCAGGGAGGGCCACCTTACTCATTCTTAATGCTAATTCCCACCACATCTCAATCATCTTTCCATGCTAGGGTTTAGTTTGGGGCTCGCTCTCTATTCTGTCCCCTTGGTTAGTTACCTCGTCTAGGTTCCCATGTCTTGATGTTTCCTAACACAGTTCATTATTAACATTGCCTTCACCATTCTTCACTTTTTGTTCTTTTATATAAACCTTAGGCATATTTTGTCAGATATTTCTATAAAAAAACACTCTCTGGACTTTGATTATCATGGCTTGAAAATATGGATGAGTGTGGATAGTAACTGACAATGTATGGGTCAGGAGCTTGCTTTTCATAATGCTCACACCCATATTTAGACACATTTACACATCATAACATACAACTGCAGCACATTCTGTCAGGATCTCTGGGTGCTGTGACAGTTTAATTGACAATTTCTTTCGGGTGGTAGAAATGTATCTGCTTTTTGATTTTATGAGTTGTAAGAAATTCAATAATTCATTCTGTAGAATTTCCTGAGCTCTGTTCTTCATATGTTTTAATATCTGTACATTCTGGAGAGTGCATCTTTAGAACAAATCCCTAGATTTTGTTCTGATTTGGAGATAGAGAACTTTGTGTCTTTCTTTCTTTCTTTCTTTTTTTTTTGAGAACTTTGTATCTTAACAGATATTGCCAAGTTCTCCAAAAAGATTGCCCCCACTACAAGCAGGAGCTGACTTCTCCCCAGAACTTTGTCATCAATGAATATTGGCCAGTGTTTAAAAGGGTTTCTAACATTATGGAAAAACAGACTCCAATTATTTTTTAAATTTGCATTTCTGATTACTGGTGAGGTTAACCACGCATTTCTTCTGCTTCTTTTGTTAAGTTTGTTAATCTCTTCCACCCTTTAAAAAAAATGGATTCCCTTTGTATTGTTTCTTTGTATATTAAGATTTAGGGCAGGGAGAGGGAGATAAGCAGTTTTACTTTCACAGCAAAACTAAGAGGAAGGTATAGAGATGTAAAGTTTCTTTAAAAAAAAAAATAATAATAGGGTCTTCCCTGGTGGTGCAGCGGGTTAAAGTGCAGCACTAAGATCGAAAGCCGCTTCTGTATGAGTTTGATCCCCAGCCCTGGAGGTGACCCACATGGCATGGCAGACAGCTCCTGACCCGCCTGCTGCTCCCCTCAGCAGTGTGTTTCATTGATCTGCCTGTTCTACTCCCCACCCTGTCTCTGGTGAATTCTCCCACCGCCCCTCTCACCTCTGGCCTGTACCCCAGTTCTGTATGCACAAATAAATAATCTTAAAAAAAATAGTTTGAAGAGTGGTGCGTGTGTGTTAGGGATTTACCTTTGTCTACTTGAAGGAAATTTATTTGATTCCAGCACATTACCAGTTGTAAGATGATTTAATAGTCTACATGATGAAATGAAAGGTTATGAAGGGCATGCAGAGTTGAAACAATGCTCTATTTACTCATCTATGCACATATTACTTCTCCTTCATCACCCTCAAATGTGACTGACTCTCCTCAGCTCCAGAGTCTGTCCCTTCTGGCCATCAGCAAACACACTGTGCTTCGTAACTTGGTCTCACAGACTGGGCATTTGTGGTACCTTTGACTTTGGGGCATCAAAGAATACCGAAGTTTTGGCTACATTTTCTGTTTTGTTAGTCTTACAGTTCCCCCTTTCTTCCTTAATTCAACTGGAAACTGAAAAGATTTTTTTTTTGTCCCCTTGAAAAGACACAGATAAATGTAGAAGACAAAAACAGACTGGTTAAAAAAAAAAATCTGTATTGTATCTTATTAGTTAGAAACTGTCACAGATGTTTGCCAGCTGAGTGACAGCCCTTCAGAGCACCAGACTGGTCACACCAATAGCTGCTAGCCTGGAAACTTATACTATCAATTTCAAGGATCTGGTCATTCCAACTGTTTTTAATTATCTTGCTTGGCCTGAGACAAGCAGGCAACTTTATGAATACAACTGTTCAATGTCGAATTAGCCTACAATCTTTTAAAAAGCAAGCTAAGGAACAATTCATATTCCAAATTTAAATAAAAATCAAGTTTCAACTGTGTGTGGTGAATGAACCTCTCTGTGTGTGTGAATACAGTCATGGTAATGAAGTCACCACTGATTCCTCCTGGCTGTTGGCTGAACATTTTCTTCTTATATTGATGGTATCACATTTGAATAAGGTGCTTTCCATTTTTTTTCCTCACAATTTTCCATCCCTCTTTTTCTTCCTATTTGGGTTATGATGTCTGGGATGGTTAACTTCATGTGTCAATGTGATGGCCACAGGAAGCCCAGATGAAGCATTATTTCTGGGTATGTCTGTGAGATGGTATCTAGCTAAGGTCAGTGTTTGAATGGGTTGACTCTGTGAAGTAGATTAACTTCCCACAGTGGATGGACATCAGCCAGTCTGTAGGACCTGGCTGATACAAATAAAGGCACAGGAAGAACTGACCCCTTATTTTTTTCTGCCCATTGTTTGAACTGCACATCTTGTTACAAGTTCTGCCTCAGACTGGGATTTATGTAATCAGCTACCTTGGTTCTCTGGACTTTACGCTCAGACTGAGTCAGCAGTACAGATCTTGGTCTTCAGCTTGCAGTTGGCAGGCTCAACGGGGGGCTTCTCAGCCTCCATAATTGTGTGATAGGATTTCTAGCAGTCTCTCTACCTACCTACCTATCAATCTAACTACCTATCAGTCAGTCATCTATCATCTATTGGTTTTGGTTCTCTGGTAAACACCTAACCCTTAATGGGAGAAAAGTTTTAAATTTATCCTGTTTTTACATCCTGCAATAAGGCTTCTGGATTTGGGTATAGTTTATGAAAACTTAAACCAACCCCAAGTTAAATATTTTTTCCCAGTGTTTTAAGAATGTGTCTTTTGTTAATATCTTTAATTCATTAGTCATTTATATTTAGAAATGGCTTATGGTGTTTTCATCAAATGGACCTTCAATTGTCTAAATACAACAAAAACCTCTTATTTTCCCCACTTCCTTGAGACAGGGCTTTTATCACAACACCTACCAGATGCACAGGTCATGCTTCATTGTCCTTGTAAAAAGGAATGTTTCAGAATTTTCTATTGTAAAACACTCACTGATGTCTGTCTGTTACTGTTCTAGTACCATGTAGTTTTAACTCTGAGGTTTATAATATGTTCAAATATATTGTCTTACCATATATTTGAACATATCATACATAGATCTAAATCTTCTTTTATTTTTCTATGTGCTGACAGTATCCATTCATGAATCAGTTAGTTTCTCTATCCATTCATAGTTCCTTTTATGCTCTATTTGAAGGCTTTGTTTTTTTTTTTTAAAATAGTTTTCTATATTTCTTGTTCATTTTCTTCTTATGGAATTTAATTTACTGTTGCTACTGGGGATAGTCATCATATAATGTACTCATTGGTCATGGCTGGTACATAAGAATTTCTTTACTATAAAGTATTTATTCCATAACTTATACATCCTTCTTGAGCTGGATGAGAGGAGGCTAGGTCAGTATATTAAAACACTGAATTTAGCCCACAGCCACAGGAATCCATTGCATTATAGAATGATGATATATTTATTTATTTTTAAACATTTCTGTGAGGACAAACGAGTAAATAGAAAACCAGAAGCCTGAAGAAATCTAAGAAAGAGGGTCAGCACCCCTCTAATCTGGAGTTAATCCTGACGGAGTCATTTAGCCATTTTACTGTTAGCTAATTATAATTGGGTTGTCTCTGTTTTGTACGTTATAAATAAAGCTATTGTGAAAAAAAATAGACTTGGGGTGGGGTTTTGGAGTATCTGACACACCTCTGGAGGTTGCTTCATTCCACTGCACTTTTATTCCCTTTATCGGATTGGGATCCTGCCTTACAAATTGCAGCTCACCTACAGTCAAGTTGAAATCTTACCACTTTACCTTAAGGATCAAGGGACAAAATCTCGGAATGCATCACCATTTCAATCAATTCACACTGTCTTTTGATGGTTGGTTTGTGTGCCATCCATGCTGTGAACAGTCATTTGAACAATGAAATGAATCATTCCCAGAGTAATCTGACCCACTGAACCTCATGATTACACAAGGCCAGAAAGAGACTCGTTGGCGTTTTCATTCCAGAAGATTTGCCAGAGTTAAAAGAAAAGTGAATTCTCTCACTGCCCCTGCACCTCTGGCCTGTACCCCAGTTCTATAGGCATAAATAAATAAATCTTAAAAAAAAAAAAAAGAAAAGAAAGGTGAATTCTTTCTCCAAGAGAGGAATCTCTACTTACCAACTTCAGGGACACAGTCCTGAGGATTACAGGATTCTTTTTCTTCTGGTTTCAACTGGGGGTCACAGAGATTGCTGAGAGCCATGTCATCTGAGAGGCAGCGCACCTCCCGGACCCGGAAGCCGCCCTGGCAGCTCTTGGAGCACTGTGAGCAGAAGGGGGGTGTCAGAGTCCTTGATGGCGCAGTAGCCAGCACACTGGGCAGGGCGGTGCTGGACAATTTCCAACATCTCCAACAGGAAATAAAATGAAACAAACTCTCATGCACCTACAACCCGCTCCAGTAATCACTACCTTATGGCCAGTTCCGTTCCATCTACGCCCCCAGCCATGTCCACACTCCAATTATTTTGAAGCAGATCTAGGCCTCACATCACTTCTAACATGTTGCAGCTGTAGCTCCAAAGGACAAAGACTTAAAAAATTATGATACCATTATGATACCTGATGGTTTAGTTTCTTACCATATTCATAGGCTATTCATATTCATATTCAAATGCTGAATGTAGTCAGCATTTCTATTTCCACTTTTCTCATGCATATCATATTTTTAAATACAGTATTTGCAAAATGCTCCACTGTTTCTGACAATTTCCTTGATGTTTTGTATGAAGAGATACACTACTTTAATTTATATATATCTGATCCCAGACCTAGATGTGTCTATTTTTCTAGAATTCCTGGATCATTTTAGTGGACAGTGGTATCTTAAAATCACATTCTGGCTGGTAGATGTCCTACTTGAAAATAAGGGACTTTAAAAAAAATTTATAATAGTTTATTTTTACATATTTTTGTGCATTTTTCCATCTCAGTTGCAATCCCCTTGGGTTTCCCATCACCAAATCACCCATGTGCCATCACCATAGTCCAGTGCATTTACCCCTCCCCCTGAATGTTTTTGATCCCATTCCCCACTCCCCCCACAAAATGTCTCTGGTATATAGTTGCTCATCATTATCATTAGAAAATAATGATAATTATTACTATTTCCATATTTCACATTTCATTTCTTAGTTACCTACTTTGGTATTTATCACCATCTCTGTTTACTTCTGTCTTTTCATTGACATGCTAAATGAAAAGTATAGCCTCTGTAGTTTAGAGATCAAAAACACCCCAGCCTCAGGCCCCTCCTCCAACCACCTAAGCAGGAAGAGTCCAGGAGTGACCCAACATTGACTAAGTGAGGGAAGTGCTGCAGAGAATCTAATTTAGGGCTGAGCCAGTCCTGGCACACAGCAGGTGGCCCAGGTGTGACTGTGGGAGGAAGGCAGAATGATGTTCTACTGGGACTTTCTGCAGAGTTCTCAGACTTACCATGCTCCATTCTGTGTTAAACCATTTGGCCCCACAAGGCTTGAGGTAGCAGGACTGCTGGCTGGGGGGTCTCTCCAGGAAGGAACATTCGTAAGGGTCCAATACTTCAAAGGTGTCTGTGTTCTTCCTAACACAAATCACCTCCCTCTGCTGGGTCCCACTCCCACACTCGATGGAACACTGGAGAAGGAAGCAGAGAACAGCGGCATCACATGGTGCAAAGGGGATGAGAAGTAGAGTCCACCGAGGGGTGTTTACAGGTGCTTTCTGCCAGCAACTCAGTAAGGAAGCCCTCTGGGCCCCTGGAAGACATTTCTGGAGAAGCTGCACTTGGCTCAAACTTTCCTAACAGTTCTGTTTCTGAAGTGGAGTTGAGTGTCTCGCGATAGCACAGCTTGAGGTTACTGGCTGCTGGGGTGGGGGAGCCTGGCATGCTGGAGTGAAATAGCTTCCTTCAGACTCTCTCACAGGAACACACCTGCCAATTAACTTGGTTGTTTCTGTCCCCTAGATTGTGACTCCTCTCACTGTAAAACAACCTCCTAACATTCTGGTTTATCAGTCAATTCACCTGTTCTGCTCCCCACTCTATCTCTGGTGAGTCTGTCTTCTCACTCCCCGCACCTCGGGCCTACACCCCAGTTCTTGTATGCATAAATAAATAAATCTTAAAATAAAAAAGCTATCTCAAACAACACACATGAAGTTGGCAAAGATATACTAGGTAGAAATCAAGCGAGGGATCAGACAGAAAAATGCAAGTATTAGATAAAATATAATTCATGGAGAAAAGTAGTGAAGACAGACCGTGGTATTAAATAGGATGACTGTTTCTCCTGAGAAGTGACAGCAGTTATGTGTGTCTCTGCACCCAAAGAATTGCGACACTTGTGCTTGGGGAGCCCAAGTCCAGATGAGACTGGCAATGTCTGTTCAGTGTCAGTGAGGATAAATGTGACACTGGAGCAGAGCTGGCTCGAGGACAGCTCTGGGTCACTAGAGGCTGTAAGAGTCCCCAGAACCTAGACAAACTCAGGCGAAATAAACCCAGAGTCGACAGGGAAGAAGGCAGACATCTAGGCACGGATAATAGACTTGGAGAACACTTTCTGAATAAAAGTGGGGCTACTCTGCCTCCAGAGCTGAGGACTCCCTAAGTCTCAGGTCTCATTCTCCCATGTGGCTTTCTCCACAAACCTCAGTTCACACCCTCTTAGGACCTGTGCCCACAACTTCCCATGAGCCCTTTCACTCACGTCCACATTAGAGCTCTGAGGAAGGACTCTGTTTGGCTCGGACTGGCCACCTGTCTCCCTGCACTCTTTGAGATGTCAACTCTTATTTAAACTCCATAGCTGGAAGAAACACTTATTTTAAGACTGTGAAGTCAGTTAATACATAAGATTTACCTTTCAATAAATGGGCATGCTCTATTTCATTTTGTGTTTGTGAGGGAATAATATAAAATTCTTGGGATGGCGAGGTGACACATTTATATTGCCTTCTGGCTGACCAAACCAAAACCGTGTCCACCTTTGAACATGTCCTTGACCTTCTGGACAGCAGGACAATAAATCGCACATTTCTAATGTAACAGAAATAAACGCTGCACTCCTGGTTTCACATTACTTTCAGGTATCTGAGCTCATTTCGAGAGTCCATTGGAGGCCTGTAGGCAAAAAAGACTCTTGAATCCTGCTTGCCTCTCCTCTCTGAGGTTGGGAGACATGTAAGTTGACCTGCCCTTTGCTGTATGAGGCAGTGGGTCTGTTCCCACTGCCTCAGTTTCCATGGATATTTGTTGCAAAGGAGACCCCTTACACAGGCCACTTAAAAAAATATTTATGGCCGTCTCTGGTGGCGCAGCAGGTTAAAGCACAGCACTAAGAAGCCTAAGCCACTTCTGCATGAGTTAGATCC